AATGTAATTGATTCACCTAGTTTCCCAGCACTTAAGTCAGGCTAATCAATTATTCTCACGAGATGTTGCTACAGATAAGAACAATAATAAAATATTATTGTTCTTATCTGTAGCAACATCTCGTGAGAATAATTTATTAGTTTAATGTAATTGATTCACCTAGTTTCCCAGCACTTAAGTCAGTATTATTGTTCTTATCTGTAGCAACATCTCGTGAGAATAATTTATTAATTTGCCAGTTATAAATTGGAGTCGTGTGATGATAATCAATCATTGTTTCTCATTATTAATGTCTTCAGTTGTTTCAACTATTCATTAATCAAAAGTATGATTAAATATCAAGTTTTATTGATATTCTGAATTATTCCAACTATCCAAGTAATTGATATATTGCCATTGTAATTGTTTGTTTTTAAACTTAAAGCTTCACAGTGAGTTACTTGTGCTCTGTTGACTGTGCTCTTCGAAACCATGATTTGTTGTACAAGTTATTTTTGGTTAACTTGTGAGAATAGTCAATATTGTTTTTTTTAGAACATTTCGTGAGAATAATTTATTAGTTTAATGTAATTGATTCACCTAGTTTCCCAGCACTTAAGTCGGTAAGCTTGTAATGAATTAAAATAATTGATTATTATCACACGACTCCAATTAATAACTGGTTTTAATTCATTACAAGCTTATAATTGATTATTATCACACGACTCCAATTGATAACTGGTTTTAATTCATTACAAGCTTATAATTGATTATTATCACACAACTCCAATTGATAACTGGTTTTAATTCATTACAAGCTTACAGTACAATTATTTTTTGTATATAAAACATTAGAATGTTTTTAAACTTATTTGTATATCTATTTTTTGTGGTTGACTTCAAGTCTGGAAAAATAAAATAAACACAATCCCTGTGGGGATTTTTATTGTTTTAAATCATAATATTACAACTTCCAAATACGTATCAAACTAACGATCAAGAAATATTTAACTACAGTCACATAATTTTGTTTATTTTTTTCATACATTTTTAACTAAAGTCACTAATTAATTACTTGTTCCAGAGGTGGAGGAGTGTAAGTAACAAGCACAAAGTTTTATATACTCTACAAATGGTTATGCATTAACCTATGAATCTAAATTAACTTAATACTGTCAAAATTCATGTACTAACAAATATTAATTTAATTTCAGTCCTACCTCATGTTCTGACATCTCACTTGCGCACTGAATGCCAGTGTCAACACATTTCATCGAAATGAAATTTTCTGTTAAGCGTTTATCTGGAACGATGTCCACTAGTGTGTATGCTGGTGTATCAAGAAAGTTACACTGCTTTCCAAAGTCTTTCCTTTGCTTTGTGTAAACATAGTTGAAATCCATTTTGCTTCAAATCTAACAGTTAATCTTCTTTTGTCCCAACTATAACAATAACACAATAATTTGTTGACTTTTGAATTAATAAAAGTTCATAAAAGTGGATTTAAGGTATATGGTTGATTTTATTAATTTACTTCAGCCATAGGCACTTGCAGTTAAATGAAAAATAGAAATATGGCAGATAAGTTCCAATCCCCACAACTTGCTCTCAGCTAAGTTTAGTTTAAATACAAAAAGTAATAGAAATACATCAAGTGAGTTCTGATTCCACAGTTTACTGTGTAATCTAATCGAAGTTTTAGACGTCAGTAAATGTTGATAGTGTTACACTGTGGAATTCTTCTGGTGTATTTCTATTTATTCCATGAACGTATGAGTAAAAAAAAATATTTCATAATATGTAAAACACACTTCATCTGCTATATCCAGTGCCAATGTGCCCAATAACAAGGTTCATCAGGCTAGGTGGAATATCAAAGATGCTGTGGTGACTGAAACAATATTTCTATTATAAAACTGTTTGAATAACAGCCAAATTTAACTTTTGCGTTCCTTATTTAACGCCTGTTCCTCGGCCTCAGGTTAGTCTGCCGATTATGGTCTCACGCTAATACTAATCGTAAAATAAGCATGTCAAAATTTATCTAATTATAAATTGTTTAAAAAAAAAACAGTACCAATAACTTTTAACTAGATGACAAATCCTTACGATTTAAAAAATTAACTTCTTCCACTGTTAACAAAAAGTTATTTCGCTGTTTTGCACGCAAACCATCAATGTTTTGCCAGTTTCTATGGTAATTCATAGCGTCCTCTTTTGTAAAGTTTTAACGTAAAGAGAAGGCAATTTAATTATTTTAGAAGAATGTATTGAATTTTAATACTAATACCTTAATTTTTCGTTTTCTTAAGAACTCGTGCATTTAATGTTTTATGGAGTGGTTTTGTAGCAGTAAAGCCAGTTATAAATTTACCTACGCATAGCTGCTATGGGAAGATGGAGAGGGGATTATATATTAAATTGAACTGACATTGTGATATCGTTGTCACAACCAGAAGTCCTTTTTGGGTCTCTCTAATCAATGGGGATGTCGATTTGGATCTCATAAGAAAAAACGAATTAAGTACTGTAGCAGCATCTTTAACACTGTCATGATATAAAAGACTGTTTAGTTTAGATATTATCTGTTAATTTATTTTTGTTAGTGAATATTTTATTATTGTTTAGTTTTTGTTATAATAAAAGTTAAAAGCAGACGATTGTAGGAAGTAGTGTTTATAAGTCATTGATGTTGAGACTATGGAACGTCGCGTGCAATACATTGACGTCAATAATATAGAGATTTCTAGAAGGCGGGCAGATGATTAAGTGATAGACATATAAATAGTGTGAGATGAGCGGAAGCAGCAGACAGACACTAGCAGAAAAAGTAAAGTTACGGACAAAAAAACGTTCGGAGTGAAGTACCGTAGAAGTGACAGGCCTAACGTTTAATATTGTTACGCCTCCGGTCGTTAGTTAATTTTCCGTAAATTTCGTTCCGACGAAACTTTAGCAACGCAAGTCTTTTCTTAAATAAAACTGGTTTATTCTTTCTGAATACAACTTTGCAATGCACTTAAT